TTGGAAATAGTTAATTAGGGATGAATGATCTATTTAAAATAGAAAAGATAATGCGTTTGAATCAAGAAATAGGTCTGTGTTCAATAATTATTTCTTCTATACGATCAATGCGAAAATTTACTAATAATGTATCAATATGAAGGCCACAGCTAATAATAACGAATGTGAATTTTGGATTTTGTTTGAAAGATTTAAATTAATTTTCTTAATCTATATGCCAAAGCTTAGGCACACAATAGATTGTGTAATTAAGAGTGCTCTCAAACATTAGGCTTAATTTATCTATAAAAAAAGCGGCAGATCAATTTTTTTTTTTTTACAGGTGAATTTTGATTGTTAAAATTTGATATTATATAATAACTACTAATCTTGAAGTTGCTTGAGAACACTCAAAGTCCTCGATCTATACAATAATCAACTCGATCCTACCTTCTGGTTGATTTCCATTTGATGCAATAGAAGAACTTGAAGATTCTATTTTCCGCAGCAGAAAAATAAAGCAAAGTCAGCATAAAGGGGTCTTTCTGTTATATACTTTTATCAATTTTTTTTAATAAAAAATGTGTGTTGATAATAACGTAGACTACCAAACTATCTTTACAGATTCGCTACATAACCGTTTTTGTTGATGAATGATTCAACTAATATATTTCAATATTTTGACATATTTTGACAATAGTTTTAAGAAAATTTATATATTCCTTACGTTCTATAGCCGAATCCCTTGAAGAAGATTCATTACTACTATTATTGCAATCATAACCGTGTATTCTGCAGTTATTGCATGGTCTGTAGTAGTTGCATCCACGATGCTGTCGACGACAGTGATAGCATGCTGAGATTACTCGTTGTCTAGGTCTAAGCATATCTCGGATGGTGTGGACCCTGTTGTTGTATTGTAGTGTATTAATTCCGAACACGCCTTGGCTTGAAGAACTTGTGTCTGTGCTTTTTAAGAAAAAAAGAATCCAACACTTCAATGGAAGTTTAAGCATATCCTCTTTGATATATTTATACATTTTTACGATGATTTCTTTGCCAGTTTACACTATTGGGAATTGGATACTAATCTAATTATGTAATTATGATTTATTTACATTGTACGCATCGGGAGATGTGTGATGTCTTTGATAATAGACATGTAAATCAGGAATGTTTAGTAAATGATCTCTTTCTAAAAGGCGTGATCATCTATTAAGGATTATATACTATATATAAGTGTATGCAATAATTTAGTAACTAATTGTCATATATTTTGGCGGTTATGGTACTGTAGATCAACTTTAAACTCATTATGATGACATTTATTACAAGTAGAAAGACTTACAGTAATAGTTCCTTTTACAACATTAGAACATCGAAAACGGGAAACACCTGTTGTATTACGAGTGATCCGATATCGGGATAACTAATAGTAATAGTAATCGACAAATTTGTTTGGAATACAATTGCCGTATCACTCACATAAAGAATCATGATTTTACCTTATCATACAAATTGTAATCAATTTCTATATTAAGTAACAATTACTGGCTAATAAAAATCAATTTATGGCTGAGAATCCCCAATTAATATTTTTTTTTTACCGTTTATATTAACACATGACGTTTGTGTCTATATGATAATGAGTTTTGAGACAAAATAACTCTGATCTCATGTGATTAAAATACCAAACCATTATTATAGTTTATATGTTTAGATCAAGAATTAATTTTAAGTATTTTAAAATTAATAACAAAAATATTAACCTAATTTAATAAAACAGTTGTTAAAAGATTGATTTTTGCTTAAAAATTTTATTAAACCTTTTTTATAACTAAATTTTTCTATATAATTTAATAATAAATTATATATTAAAAGTAGGGAACCGATATTTCTAAACCCCTTTTTTGGTATTTCCACACCCTATGTAGATCACTCGTTTTTAAACTTTTATCGAAGGTACCTCGATAACCACTAAGTGAAATTCAATGAACTTTTTTTCTTTGAATTCTATGGATTCATAAAAAGTTCATTGAAGTTTATTAGGTGGTTGTCGAGATACTTTCGATCAAATCATGCATAAATTTGTCGCGGCTAAAATTTTAATAGACGTTTAAAATTTTCCAAAACTTTCATTGAAGCTATCTTGACAACCACCTAATGAAATTCGGTAAAAAATTTTTTATATGAATTTTGTGAATTCATAGAATCAAATTCACTGAGTGGTTATCGAGATATCTTCGATAAAATTTTTAAACAATATAAGCCGCAGCAAATTTGTCCACGACTTTGATCGAGGGTATCTCAACAACCTACCAATGAAATTCAATGAATTGTTTTTTATTTGAATTCTATGGTTCATGGAATTCAAATAAAAAAAAAAGATCATCGAATTTCATTAGGTGGTTGTTAAGATAGCTTCGATGAAAGTTTTAGAAAAATTTTAAACGTCTATAGCCGCGACAAATTTATACATAACTTTGTTCTCGACAACCACCTAATAAAATTCAATTAACTTTTTTTATGAATCCATAGAATTCAAAGAAAAAAAGTTCATCGAGTTTCACTTAGGCCGTTCGAAGTTAATTTTTCGGTTAACATCACCTTCTAGAACTCTCGAAAGGGGGGAAGGGGGAAAATGAAACGAACATATAAAATGAACAAACTATTTTTAATGTAGTAAATCTATTATAACAAATTGACTTCAAGTTAAATTTAGTCTAGAGATTCTAGTTGAGTTGCTAATTAGGTCAGATA